TACTAATATCGCCAATTATATGTCTCTTTTTGACAACGAAAATGTAACTCCCAGTGAGACGAATGATGAACAAAGTTTTGCGTTGAATTTCGGTAATACGGCGGACCAGGGGAAAAGCAACGAGCGTTTTTTCGACTTCTAATACCACTCATTCAGTATTCTACAGATTTTCTGTAGATATTCCTGATCCTGTAAATTCACAGTCTAATTCATTCTATAAACATTTCTCACACTGTAAAATTGTCCTATTCAAACATTGTTTGTGTATTAATTTTTGTTTCTTACATTTGTTTTCGTTCATCTAGTTTTTTTTTTTTTTGAAATTTTATTGATTCTGAAGAATCCCAAAGGGTTGATGCTGAGCAGGCGCATACATCTTGCGCTGCTTATTTTTGCCAGGGCTATTAGCATATGTTAAGCACTTATGATATTTGTTGCTGGGACTGTTACTTTCGTGCACATGAAAATTGAGCCCAGTGGGACACATTTTTGTTTGTGATTGCTTCATTCTGTTTAAACATCTGTGAAATAAATTTGCTGTGAAAACATGCTGGAATTTCGAGCTCACTTTAAATATCTGAAAATTAACTCTCACAAAATATTGGCTGCTTGTTTTCTTAGTTTTCTTTTTTCGAGTAATGTTTTTGATGAATGTGGTGCGAGGACTTACGGTGTCGTTGTGACTGCAGGCAAGGCGAAGGAGAAGCGTGTCTTTTATTAAACAATTTTTAGTTAGGCTTAGCAAAGAAAAATAAACTTGAGCATCTACACAAAAGTTAGCAAAGGAATAAGCAGAACGCCGGGTTGAAGACCACTGGAACTGGTAGACTTCTTGTTAATTCCAAAACGACGTGTCTGGGGAAATGAATACCGGACCATACTTCGAACTGAATGCTTTGGAAGTAAATAAAACACTGAGAACCGAGGAGCTGACAGGTCGCAGTCCAAACTGAGAGCTCAGAATGGGGGAAAAGGGGGCTTAAATAAGGAATGGAAGACTTACTCCTAAGAGGAGGCGCCCACCATATTTCACTCCTTTGTATCCAGCTGACAACAATACAGCTGGACACAGTGCAGCTGTTAATTATTAAATAAGAAATGTGCGCACTGGCTTCTTTTATGGAAAACTGAATTAAAAATTAGGTCGGGTATAGGGATGGGTTACGGTAAGGATAGGGTGGAAAACCCAGGCTGAAACGCACCAGGCGAGCCGGTGCGATCATGTGTTTTTGCACCAGACCTGAAATAA